CTCAATTGCAAACAAATGATACAAAGCGACTCCACAAATTCCGTGACAGATCTCACTTTTCAAGAGACGTGAAGCAGATTTACGACGAGACACTACTCGCATGCCGCATCAGTAGTATTCGCCGCTACAACAGGACTGACAAACTTGTCCCTCAGGAAGAAACGTGATATGGGCAATGGGCTTTGCCACTTGTCCGGATATCCAAGTTGACTATAGCATCATCCGATTAGGCCACCACCTTTATGCATTTGATTCGAGTTAGTTTCTCAGTAGTTTGAAAAGCGATCATTTTCCAGCGTGTAGCACATTACGATATGTAGCAGTTCCTCGGTTCTCAATTGTTACCAGTGTTTCGTTGTGTTAGAGAACATGTACGCACATTTTTTCATTTTCTGGCTTCTACTGGATTTCGGCTTCGAAAATTACTACTTCCTCCCCACAGATCGCAACAACGAGCATACAGTTCCTTCTTGTCGATATGGCACCATTATGTCTCAATTCCACGCGTTCGTGGTTATTGGATGTTTGGACATACACTGTAGTTTAAGTGACCAATTTCCTTACAACCTGTTTTCTCCTGCTAGGAACATCCAACGACACCCGAATTCTCTCAGATGCAGAAGACGTAAGAGATATCTTATATTTCCCGCCTGTATAGTGGAAATTCTTTGCCACTCAGCCGGAAACCTGGTACCCGCTGCAGGTGTTTTCCTGTGGAAGTAGAGATATTTACAGGTGTAGAAGAGATAAGCCAAATCAAAATAGCAGTATTGGATGATGGAAAGTTCAAGGACCATTCAGACACTATTAAGTGAAGTGAAACACACTCTAACCCAGTAAAATCTAAAGCAAAACACCACGATGCAATACAGATCACGAACAGTCCAACCGGAAGAGACGACAATGGATGACAATTTCAGCAGTGGCGTGGCTGCTCGAAGCAAAAAATGCGAACCACAACGCAACACGTATTAAGATCGGATTAACCAGAATCTAACTAGGATGATTGTCAATGGCCAATCAAGTTGCGGCGCAAAGGCTGCTCTTTGTATACTATATAAACGCATGCACGAAGAGGGGAACTACCCAACCAGCAGCGCACTGAAGATGTCTCCCCGAATGGTGACGAAACGTTTGCAAATCAATTGCCAAGCTCGGTCAACAGATTAACAGACACCTGATCAATTACCAATCAAGGACCAAAATCAAGATAACACATTTGGGGACAGAATTATTGTGTTCACATGCACATCACAGTTACTGGGTTGTCGTTCGGATAGTCCGGCATCAATCAAGCGTGAACACCTTCGCCTGTCCAGAAGTAAAAATCAGATGCCTCCAGTGTGCGCTAGTGGAGTAGTGTTAACATGCTGGCGTCGCAAATGTCCGCAGTTCAAATCCAAGCACCGCCAAAGATATGCACAGCTGATGAGCTCTGATGAGAGCGAAACTCGATCCCAGTTCTTGTCCCTTTGACTGGACTCACCAGGTTAATTACGTCAGGACAGGATGATAACTGTTCAAACCAGAATGAGGTGAATTAGAACATTACAAATCCCACAACCACCCACAACGAAAAAATGAGTGTGTTTGATTCACACTTTTGCAATAAATTTGTACTACTCCTATGTACTATTGAAGACCATGTCCTACTTCGTAAATAACTCTGCTTCAGCGTTACCATGAGTGCCTACGAACGTGGACATCCTGACCTTAATGATTCGGTATTTTAAAGAACATGGGATATTCAGGCAAACTAGGGGCATCTTCAGGATGATTTCGTGCAATTTATAAGTGCTGCTCAAACGATTTCTATCGCGTCCACCGCTCATTTTGACTGTTGACTTTGGAACTAATCAGACAAGTCTATTACCATCTACCGATTGGAAATAAATAGGTTTAATACTGACGTAGACAAGTACTCGTCGACTTTTTCCAGTTCCATGCCAAACTCGGCTTGGATCTCGTTAAGCAGATTAAGCAAATGTGGATATCCACAAGTAGAGAAATCCTTAAAAAGGGTTCTCTACGGCAACCGAAACGTCGGATTATGACATCTTATTCCACGCGGTGTTCTGACTTTAAACTTTCCGAATTATCAGATCCATTCCTACCCCTTATTTGACAATCTGTGGAGTGCTTTCGTTCTGAAAGCTGGGTTTCCGATAGCTCAGCTATTTCTCCAAAAAACAGTCTGGATGTAAGCAGCGATTAATCCAGTATAGATGTAATGCACTACTCATAATGTTGCTGAAGTATCTTGAGAACATCGTAAACGAGAGGTTCAGCTTGGTCCAAGTTGAATTTCCCGTCAAAATCAAATTGGTATGCAGATGACTGTATAAGCAATTGACTTTGATCCTTCACGTTTCGTTTGATCTTTGATCGCTGGATCAGCATATTGTTTCAAGTAACCCAGCCGAAGCACACATTGCCCATGTCCACTAATCGGTGTGCACCAATCCTGTACAAGCAAACATCAATATTCCACAAGTGATGTGTTAGCCAGGCTAGGATTTTACCGACAACAGAAGAACATTGGGGTGTACTTTTACGTTCGGATGAAAGCAAAGAAAATCCTTGTACCAAAGGCTGAAAATGCTCAGGAACTTCAGAATTGGCGCTAGAACAACTGTGCGTTCACCTGACCCCATTGGAGGGGCTGTGTTTGACTACCAACAAATTGCACACTCTAATCCAGTTTGTTTACACATCCTAAACATAAAAAACATCGTAAAGGTTAGGAAATGGAACTTGTTAACCAAGCATTTGTAATCCGTGAGGCCAGGACAATGGTGTTCGTAATTTCATTTCAGAGTGGAAATCTATGAAACAACGAATTTCTTGAGGTTCATTCAAAATGGCGGCTATTAAAAGGGTATTCTAGTGAATTCGTCAGATTTTTCACTGACGAAACAGCTTTTAAGTACCGTCTAATTTCACTTTCAACTCAAACAACTAACTACTACTGAAAGTAGTTGAGACATTACCGGCGATAAAAATACAGACACTTAGTTGTTTTATTTGCGTTGTCTTGTAGTGACAACCTGAAGTCTAAAATGAAATCAGCCGATTGGAAAATGAAAGAAATAAGTCGAATTTAGTTTATCCTATACATCGTTTCCTAAATCAGTCGGGTATATCCAACTATATTACTTCCCAGTTTCCGGGAGTATAAACTTGCCATCAGATCGCCTAACTAAAGAGCAGTGAGTACCGATCAAACTTGTCACCACCAGGAAAAACGGGACAAACAAGGTATTCGCGATTTCTGTTAAAGGGTTCCGAAATTCAATAGCTATATCCGTAATGTTCAAAAATTTTCCCCATCTATGGCGCCTGTTATTGAAACAGAGTAAAATAATGGACAATGAGGAACCCCTTTTAGAAACACACCTAGGAGTATGACATTTATCAATCGGCTTCATACCTTTAGGTCATTGGGAGCTTGAGCTTGGCTAATGAATTGTTTTAGAAATAAGTTCAGGCACTATTATGGGTTATATGAAAGGAAGCAGGTCAGACAAACGTTGAATGAACAAAGTTCAGGCGGAATCAATCAGTCCCGCTTGCTGTTCAGGCTAGACGTTTGAATCTGTTGCGTTCACGTCCGAAAGAGTTACATGTAAACACTCCGTTTGTCTTGAACTCGACGATTCAACAAGCCTGGTAACCTGACCCAGCCACTTGGTCTGTCGACGGATTTTAGTCGTATTATTGGTTTCTTTTGGATCTCGAAAGACGGTCTATTCGAATTATGTTTTTTAGCCCTGTAAATTTACTGGCAACGGAAATATGCATCGAAAGCTCTCTAACACAAGTAAAAACAGTTGCCAACCATAGAGAATTTCCCAGCTATTCATCTCCACCTATTCAACCTGAGTCAGGTACTAGCAACAGTCAGCAACACCAGCGTGTTCATTCCCCTGGCGTTTGGCGATAGGCATACCTATCCCACCTTAGATTTGTTCCCCTTTCAAGTAAACCCCAGAACCTTCTTGTTGAAAATGGAACGAATTTAACCCCTAATAAGAACAAGTCTTCAATGGAGTTCACAAAAGTCTCCATTAAAACTTTCATCCGACTCCACACAATCTGTCTGTCACATACATATTGTAAAGAAATATTCGTGCATCGTTCCGCAATGATTCGGTTCGGCATTTCAGTTCGCTTCGATTTGGATTTGGCTGCCCGATACCAACACCACGGAGCAGAAAAGGTTGCATATTTTTGTCAAAATAATTTGGAAAATGAGTGAACCGTTAGACGGCTCTCTGTTGCTTATTCAACGTGCATACCGCGGTTTTCTGAAGACAAATCGACTTCCCACTACTAGGATTATCAAAACATATTTGAAACTCACTTTGATACAATAGTTTATGTATGAGGTTACAGAACTCCATTCGCCTGCGTACTGCAGGCTTCACCTTTTCCAGGATGAGGTAGATCGGTCCCCCGGTCAGTATTCATGCGTAGCACGAACTGATATAAGTAAAACTTTGTGGCGCTAAAGATCACTTAAACAAGCTTATCTTGTCCGCTACCACGGATGACATGGCCAACCCCTGAATTATATTTAGAAACCCCCCAACGCATCTAAATCAAATATTCTGCAGAATTGAACTTTGTTTTATGTAGACATATTTGAAGAGAAGATCTGTATAGGCAAAGTTTGAAGTTAGCAAAATCTTCAAGAGGAGCCCGGAGAAATTACAATTGTATCATCTGAAAGAAGCCCAAGAAAGCTGGTGTGACTACTAGTATAGTAAAAGCAACCTGTTTGACCACACCGCTGTACTTTTAAAATAACCGGAATGTCACTTTTGCGGAAAGTATTAGAGATGTCATTTGGTAAAGAGACGGATGAAGACCGTTGGAAGCAATAAAATACAGGGTGTCGACGGTTCTTCACATTCTACGGACATCAATGACATCAAAAAGAAACTCCTGGTTAAAATCGTTGAAAGATGGATAGAGACCACATTAGGTGTTAATGGATTCTAATTTATGGAAACATTGTGCGGGATGACACAAACTGCCGTGCTGGCATTGTGCAACACATAGTCACTAACACTGCCCATAAGAGTTCGCTGCAACGCCCCCAGTCCACGACTGCCCATAACCACTAGTCTCGCGCGATATTTTTCCGCTTTTGACACGATGGATTTTCCAACTTGATCGGCTGTCTCGTACACAAACTGATAATTCAATCCTTTAGTTTGCAGGTCAGTCACATATTGGGATTCCAGGCGTCTCACACATTCTAACTTGGAGTGAATTATTTTTGACCACTCATCATGGGGGATTGTACCAAGGTTGGTGAGCGGGACCGACGGGAGTGAACTTGGCTCCAGGGCATAATACAGTGTGACAGCATCATCCGATCGACTGAGCCACCTCATGTAGTATTTAAATGCATTCTTAGACGGTGGAGAATCGTCTACTGCAATCAGTACCGACCTGGCACTGGAAGACGGAGTTCGACAAAATCCTGTGCAACAGGGTTCCATCATATCCAAAAGGAACGGTGGCTTTTTGGCAAGTTCATTTCGTCAAGCGAAGTATTCTGGTTATCATAGGGCGCATACCATTGACCAATCCAATCAAAATTCAGTAACCACTGTCAAAATATTGGCCAATGGATTGCAGGCAATCTCGTCACCCTGATTGGTTGTTGGGCTAACCGTAGTCCCCTTACATGCAGCAGATCGGTTACGAGTCTCGCTACATTAAATGACGTCGTTGTGGTGGCAAGATGGAATTTTTGGAAAAATACCGATATTCAGGGGTTGTTAGTACAACGAATTCACATCAGCACCAAACCGTTTTCCCATTAAACTTTTACCACCAAGAATAAGAGGTATGTTCTATCTTGAAATGTCGCGGGCAAATGCCAGTTATCAATAACCACAACAATCACAGAAAATGAAACCTTCCCCAAGACGGATAATTCCAAAAAAAACCTCAAAACACCTCTTCATCAGCACTGAACCAGCATGCAATATCTAAAAAGGAGCTCTACCCTTAGAAGAGGTAAGGAAACCCCTTCCAATATGGTGATCGTTCCCAAACGAAAACGCTATACAATGCCCGTTAAAGTCAATTCCTCACAGGAAGGTGCTAAAACGTTTGAGCCCCGGAAATGCGGCAAACATCTTCAACATTCTGTGGACCGGATTAAACCCCTCTGCAGCTTTTGTAGAAGCACACAATAGGTCTAATCGCTTGTTTCTTCAGTCACGTTTCTGTATGAAAGAGAAAATCTGCTAATGAGCACCCTAAACTGACCGCTGCTGTGTACAAACCCTTTTTGATAATATTTCACCCACACTAAAGTAAAGGGACAACGTCTATAACTGACATGACAAGTAGGCTCGACATTCCTTCGGAATTTAGTTTTTGGACACAATTGACCAAACTAGCTGACCAATGTCACATCCATGTTGGTGAACTTAGGTTTTTTCTTCTCTAGTACGGCTGTAGGTATGTCCAGAACGTTCAGCGTTAAACAGCCCATCTACCTCCATTTTGTTCTGCCTTGCTTGTTGTTCAGCAACAAAGCGCATCTGATGTTTCTATTTACTCACAACCCCGTGAATACCGCGTTTCGGCAGTTATTATACGATGACGATCGAACTAGACCACTGTTTTGATTGGAAAATTAATTCAACCCTACCTCAAGGTGCGAAGCACTCATTAGTGCTCTGACGAACCCTGCTTCCTCTGAATTATTGTTCCAAGTGACCCGATCACAGGCGTATCTGTGCTAGTAGGGAAGCCGCGGTTTCATTAGATGCTGCAGATTTATAATGCACTGAAGCGCTTAAGTAAATCAAATTAGACCAAATTAAAGACAGTCACCGTTATAGAACAACACAACCTTATGGAGAATAGCGAATTTGAGTCAAGCTTTGATTCTGATGGTGCTGCAAGACCTCATAAGGATGGCGGACAGATGGGGGGACATGGTCAAAGCCTCACTGCTGCTCGATTCCTCACACTCCACACTACAAGTATCCTCTGATAACTCGGTGAACAGAACCAACGTTTGTTGAAGCTGGGTAAAAAGTTTGCGTCTTGACCACTTTTAATGATGATTACGATTTATTCTTTGAATCGGATAGGCCGTATTTGAGATGCTCGGAACGAGCCTACAATTTGCTTCCAAAATCTACACAATATTTACCGCGTTTTCCAAGAGCGTTAGAGTGTGCTGCGATGTGACTGACGGAAACCTAGAGAATTGTTTTACTCGTGCTGTCAGGATCATTGGCGATTCAACCGGATGTCTCCTTGCTTCCGGAGTGCCTTCGCCCCCTGGCCGCATATGGGGCTGACCAACTCTAGCTGTTCACACTCGTGTCACTTGATCCAGCTCAGATGAGACGGTATGTAGTGTGATTCTGATCGACTGACCGAGCTGCAATGGCATTCTTCGTACTCGAATGACGGCGTTGTTAAAGTTCGCTTCGTTCGTGTACCCGGCCACATACCCAAGGCGAGAGCAGGATCCACGAGTCCATATTGCATAACGCGTGCGCACTGAGGAGATGCGGCCGTGTGCACTGATGTGATGAAAGTTGGCGAGTTTCCGGGATCATTGTAGAAGTGAACTGATGGCTAGTATGCTGTGGAAGCGCGAATGTAGCGAGAGTTTTCGCCAGAGTACGGCAACCAATTTAGACCTCGTTAGTAATATCGAAATTCTAGCTTTGGAGGCATATGCGCGGGAAATTAGATGCGGAATTCGTTCACCTAATCGCCTTTGAATATTTATGTTTTTCTAATGCTATCAGAAAGCGGATTTCGGGTCATCATGCATCACCATCACCGGACCTTGGTCCAGGTATATGTTTTCTCAGAAATGGCTCGCACTAATATCACACCTGTTATTTCTTTATGAGTGACAGTGTGTGAACAGATCCATCTCCGAAACACTTAATTCGCTGACTGACCGTTTTCGCCAAACCGTGGTCTTCTGACAGAGGAACTTCTAGTGTGAAATTTACTCCCACTAATACTGTTACGCATATCGAATTAATGGGAAAGACAAGCGACAACGAATTCTCAAAAGGACCGCTCAGTGACCATAGAATTTTCGACGGACATTTATCTACCGAGAGCTGCTTTCGCTTACGTATGCTTCTGATAGGTCATTTGCGCGCAAGCGAAATTCTTTTGCCCTGTTGTTGTTTACTGATTGCCTTATGGGTGATCGTTCATCAACAAGTCGATACAGATTCCTGGTAAGAAAAATCTTGGAGTGTTTTCGGTCACATCACTCACAATCCCATCCACAAAATTAAATCAATCAAGAAAGGCTATCTCTCCATTATTCTTCGATGTGATGAACTCCTTCTCGCTTGAAACACAGCCGATCAGGCCTGACGTGATACAGCTGGGGATCACACAGAATGTGTTAGCATAGGACTGAAATCTTCACCCAGGAAGCTGGACCGATCACTGCTGACTTCCAACGGCCTCTTTCCAGATTGATCCCAGAAAGGCCTGTTACTAATATTTCCCGCATGAGATGTTGGGGATATCAGTATCCCCAAAACCGCTTACTTGTTGAGTTATTTTCTGAGAATTTGAAATTTGAATTTCAGCTCATTTCCCGCCATTTTGCACACTATTGAAAAAGGCAGCGCTCCTCTAGTATTCACCGGGTGCAATTTGTATGTTATGACAAACTTACCATTCCCCAAGGTCATTCAAAACACGTATATATTCAACGTTGCCACTGCTGCACTTTGCCTTTGGTTGAGACAGTAGAACTCTTCTCTGAGTGTCCCGTCGTCTTCACTGTGCCAGGAGTGGTTGGGCTCTCGGCATAGCTGGGGAATAGTGCACTCGTTCTTAAGTAGCATAGTCGTTGATTGTACTCGCTTAGATCGTAACGAACTTAGCCCAGCATTTCATTCTGTATCACATCAACTGACCACTTCTCGGTGTGGCAAACGGAACAGCATTGCCTATGCTGCTTCGGTCACGCGTAATTTTCTAGTGTATTGTCCGCTTTAATCACGTGTGACAAGCAAGCACGCCCATCTGTGTGTCAATCTGGATGCCCGGTTTTTACCACCGTATATCAGCCACAGAATAAAATGCTCAACGCATCTGAAGAAGACGGATTGCTTCAGTTGGGCATCTGCTTGAACCCTAGCAAACAACTCGGAGAAAGTGCTCTGAGGTTTGGTACAAACTTCCAAATGGGATGACCGGGCGGCAATGAATGGACTACATTAATTCCTCCAAAAACACTCCACACAATTGCTAATTCCTACAGGAAGTGAACGGGCTGTTGTGGTTTGAATTTTCTGGAAACTATAGGGGAAAATACCTTCACACAACTAAGTGTATGAAGGAACAACTACTGCCCAGATTTCAGTAGTTGCAAATCCGACCAGCACATGCGCTCCCTAATACGTCCAACCAAACTCTGGACTGTCACTGACCTTCACCACCCTATTCACCTTTCAGCCCTTCTTGTGGTTGATTAATTTCTACCCTCATTGGTTCCTTTGACTACCGAGTAACAATGAGTATCATTTACTTAGTTGTTCAGTGGCACAGCAAGCTCAGTAAGACTGAATCCGACCAGTAACTGTTGTATTTCCAAGTTGAAATTATCTCCTCTTTCAAAACATACGGTACCAGTTGAACAAAACCCGCTCGATTTTAAACACATGGACTACCTTGGAAGTCAAAAATTTAGTGCTTATTGCAAGAGAAACTTTTGTCGTTAAGTTAGTCTGTGTATTGTGAGTTGGTGGTGTGGTTGCGCGTCACTGGTTTTTGTGCGCTTTATCGGTCGGCCTCCAGTAGACCGAATGTAGTCGCGAAGCTATTCTCCTACTGAACAACACACGCTTGGTAGACCATAGTGATTGTCCCAGATTGGCTTTGACCAATGGTGAACAGTGAGTGCAGCCTAGTAGTGCAACTGACCTGTTCCGTTTCAATGCTCCTGGGAGAATCCTAAGGGATAGCTGAGTATTTACCATCATGCATTGGAACCTGAGGAGTTAAACAAGCAGTTGGTGTGTTTCTTGACGGGCTGATGTGCATTTACTTGATCCGTCACCATTGTACCTAATTACGTTCAAATCTGTCAAAAGTACTACTGTACCACATGTACCCCACTTAGCATCTGCCTGTTCCATCAGATAGTTTTCCTCAGAACATTTGTTGCTAAGTGTACCAGATTGTGAAAGGTCCCAAGCACCCACATGTACCGATAATGTGACCGCGCAGTAAGAATTCTCTGGAACGAAGGTCTTGAAGCATAGTATCGATTTTCGTTGCTCTTGAAAGCCTACAGAATGCCTACAAGTTACTTTTTCGCTGTTATGGTTCTAAATTATCTTTGGGTGCTTTATGGTTGCCACGTAGGGGGTTGCAACGGGTGTTGTGTTCATCAGAATAAGGTGCACACCAGCATCTAATTTTTGTCCGTCAAAACCAATCCCGTTGATTTCTCAACAGGACGAACATGTCAGCTGATCCCAAACAGGGATTACGGTGGCATCCTTATGATACCCAACTTTTCTGACGTAGTTTTCGGATGCTGCATAACGCGAAAAAAATCAAAATCAAGGTTTGGATTGGTGGTAAATGGTTACAGGTTCAACACGTTCGGAATACTTCCTGCATTAAAATCACTGAACAAAGTAGGGTAGTTGGCAACTCGAATGGCTTCCACTATCGTAGAGCTGCCTAAATTGGTAGCAAGACTCGAGGCGAACTGGACGAACCTTATACTTTACGATCAAGTAATCAAACTGGATTTCAATTTCATTTTCGAATGGGGGCTGCTGTAACCCCATCAAATCACAACTAGTGGAAAAAATTCGACACCTAACGACTGCTTCTGTTGTATAAATATGTACAATGAGTATAGCATTAAGGTCCCGTAGATCCTTTCGACTCCAAATACCTGCCAAAGAAGCAGTATCTAAAACAAACAGTTCGACTGTTTTCGAATGACATTTTGTATGAAAAGAGTACGACCAAAGTTGCGTTTTTTAAGTAGTGATATAGAATGAGAACTGTATTAGAACCAGATTCAGACGAGCCTAAAATAATACTGGACGCTCAAGAGTTGATGGCGAAAAAACTGAAGGGAAAAGTTAAAGGCATTTTATTCAAATATAAAATCATGATTGGTAAGTTGAAAGTTACATCACAGTATTATGCGGTAGCAAGGCGTGCATGTGGAGTTGAGCATTTGTGCACTAAACTCTGGTTGCGAGAAGTCGGTTACATGCATCCAGTTGAACAAAAAGATGAAAAGTGGCGCAGTAAGCTGGCTCAATCCCCATCGGTTCAACGGGAACGTGCAATATCAGTGAAGTACGCTTGTAGATCATCGATCGTAAATTCTAGTGAGATTCCGGAATCGGGGTAGCACTCAGCGATAAGGGTGTTGAACTGTTCGCACTGTTCGAAAAACTTGGCTTGAATAGATCTCCAGACAACCTAGATCAAGAGCACAAGGGAGAACTTTTGTCGGTGAACAAGGAATGTGAAACACACGGGCTGCCGTTATTCGTGGTAAAGAGTGATTACTGACTGAAGAGACCATAGAACTCATGAGCGGAACAAAGACTACTGTGTCTGTTTTCTGTAAGTGACTCTCCGGTCAATCACATCACAGATGTAATACCACTCATACATCGCAGGAAGTGATGAAATGAATTTAAGGGTACAATCCAAAAAAGGGGTCAAAAGTAACAGGACTTATGGGTCGCGGAGTCGAGTGAATTGCGTCGATGTCAAACAGGTTTATGGAGTGGAATCATTCGTGGACCAAACGAAGCTCAGATGTAGCACAAGCTTCTATTGGACCCACAGTTGCAGAGTCACATAGATGGATTCCAATAGTCTCTGTGACCAACTAGTTTGAACAGGTTGGGAGACAAATGGTATGTGAATCGGAAGGCGGAACCATTGTTTAACGTGATCCGCCCCATGTTTGACACGACATTCGAGTTGAAGGTCTTCGGAACACGCAGCTCCTCCGAGGTGTGCTCGGGCTTCGATAAGCTCTCTAAAAACAACCTCGACACTGATAACTACTCAGCGGCGAATGGCAACACTTTCCTCATAATTCAAGAAGGGGCATTGGAGGTTTGGACAGTTATACATATCTTGGAAGTTGTACTAGCACTGAGAAGTGGATCCGATGAAGTCAACGTACGAATCACGTTAGCCAGTTCGCGAGTAGAGAAGGCATATTTCTGGGTGTCAAGAGTAGTGTGTTTCAGGCTGCTGTACCGTTGCGAGATATGGACTGTGAGAACAGATGATGTGAGGCATCTTCAGGTTTTTGACCAACGATGCCTCAGAAGCGCTGAGGGTGTCGGATGGCGTCAACGGATTCGTAAAGGGGTAATTCGAAAATGGGTGTTTGGTTGCACACACAGATCGAGGAGAACTTTCAGCACCATCAGCTGCAGTGGCTCGACCATCTACCGTCTACCGGGACGAGTGTTTATCTTCATGGATCCTTTCGAACGGCAGAAACTGTGACGTAGACAATGTGTAACTGAAAACCCATAGATGTTTACAATTCCTCCATACCGGAAGAGCCGTAACTCTGGATTTTGAGAACGGAATGCTTGTTTGATGACTCCAAGCAATTAGGAGTGTTTTTTGGAAACAAACCAGGAAAATTCGCTATCCGGATGTTGACAAATAAGCATGCACAAGTCCGCAACTCAAACACAATTGAATGGAACAAACAAAGCGACCCTGGTGGACCATCCCACGAAAGTCTGATGAGGTGGCACTCTACAGGAGGAGTCGAAACAGCAACCAAATTGGTTGATGGGGGTTACAGACAGGCGCCGAGTCAAGGATAACAGGGCTGTCTTGAGAAATAACTAAAGATTCGACAGTATGATGGAAAGCACATGAAACGGCTCGGCTTTCACCTTGTTGAAAATAGCTATCACTGGAGCTGACGAATAGGTCGAACCATTGAATATTGCAAGACTCGGTGTTTAGCGAAAGAACACAATCGCGAGCAATAAAAAGACTATCATAATCAACCTCATTACATAGGGGAGGAAAAACAGGCACATTTAAGTGACAACAGAGCATATCTACAGGAAAACTTACTTGAAACAAATTCCCCTCTTCGGATAAATGTTTTTCTACCTTTTTGCAAAGGTTTTCAAGTCCACGCTTTACCTGGGAGACGAAAAAAGTTTCCGTTATCTGATTGCAGAAATTAATACTGGAAGAACATTATCTGGCAGTAATTTGTTTCGGGGTCACTGACCGGGATACCAATTATTCGATTCCGCCCCTTCCGTTTCGATGACCACCATCTAGGCATACAAAAACCTTATAGCATGTCAGCCCAACATTAGCATCGAGCTGTATATCAACTGTGCCATAGATGAGAAGACTGAACTTGTTTGTTGTTGTACTCCGAATCTGAAACAACCATACTTGAAAATACCCATACGGAGCCGGGTAAAAATTGAAGGGTGTAAACACTCGAATCGAATGCTAAACGCAAAAGCATTTAGCTAAGCAGTCAGTTGGATAAATTGCCGTGCCGAGAGAACAAGTGAACACACATATATGGACATGTGAGTTGTTGGGGCCAGATACGCAGCCTATGTGTAGGAGATTTAGGTCGGGCAATCACGAGAATGCACCGCGGCGTGACAGCATGTCGTGTGGGACATCCAGTAAGTCAGGAAGATCATGTCCATCAACAAGAAACATAACCAGGTATGAAGACGAGAACCTCCGAAATCTAAATTTAAAACAGCATAATATAGATAGGTGTTAAACTTAGATACGTGTAAGTAGGAATAATTGAGCGGATGTGACTGGAAACGACCTTCTTTGGTATCGTTAAGGAAAGATCTGCTGCCAATCTACCATTTCCGCGAGCAAACAATAAAACCGGTGTCCCTTCCGTTAGGAAGTCCAATGTTGCCGTTTGGATTAAATGCACTTCAGTAAACATCCTATGTACTCAAACACGGACTAAATCATTGCGGTTAAATTCCCAAGGCACGTGTGGAGTTTCAATGTGGCAAGCATGGGAGACTACAACGGTCGAATCCAGCTGACGAGTAGGAAAAAAGAAAACGTCCAGCTGTACTACCCTTTTCGTGCCTAGCTGCCATGCCATCTGAAGGAAGGACGAGGGCTGGGATACTGCCAGGTTGCCCAAGCCTAGACAGAGGAAGTCAAACGGTAGAGGTCGGGTTCGAACAACGGACCTTTCGGTCACTAAATTCGCCCTCCAGCCACTGAGCCATTTTGCTCCGCACATCACTGTCGACGATCAATTTTGTACTCCACTCGTGAGCAGTGGAAGTTAAGACGGGGCACATCCTATATGAAAGTGAGCTAATGCCCGTGGCGGGCAAGTCCCTCAGAGCGTACTTCATGGCGCTCTCCGTCGGGAGTCCTAGTTCTAATAAAATTGGCTGGGCGAATTCCAAATACCGAAACTCACATAGATGATATCACCTATTTGGTCACATTGCACTCAACCCTGGGCACAATCCCCTAAAAAAGTTCCAATGTAAAAGATGAAACTCAGATCATAGTGTGTAGCCTTGGAGAGAGCTCCGATAGTTCTTGTCAGACGGTAACTTTATGAGTCAAGATATCTGAAGTGCCTCCTTCCAACCTGAATACGTTTACACTCCGAGCTAGATTGCACTGACAATATGAACTTGTTGTGACTTTATGAGGCGGACTCCTGTATTGCCAACAGAATGCATGAAAACGTTTAGGCAGTGAAAAGATTGAAGACCTGAATGCAGAACAACTCAGCTAACTGTCAGAATGAGGTTTTAGCGAAAGCGATGAACCATATAAGTGATATGACCAAAGCTGAAGTTACTGCCCGTCAATAACTGTTTAATCCGGTAGCATTCGGTAATAATTTGCACTCGATTTTGAGTTGTTCAGTGCTATCTACTTCGTTAGCTGCTGAGTTATTCAAAAAAAGTCCTTTATGGTATTACGACATGTGACGAGTAAGCGAACTTGTGGGGAGTTGTAAACAATAAGATCGAAGAGCTCAAAGTATTCGAAGGCAAACGAGCGCATCATAAAGAGGAATGCTCATCGACAACACCGCAATTAAGAACAAGGGAGAGTCAATTACCTCGCGCCCAGGATATTCCCGAATCACTTTTTGTAGCTCCTGTTTTGAGAATGCAAACTGATATTGGATGACTTCCGGGCGAACGCCTGCCGCCAAGGCAGCATTAACACCTTCAAAAAATGTCTAAAACATGAGAAAAACAAAAAGATATTATCAAAGAAGAACCTTGGAGTACTTGAAAAAAAGTGTCCCAAAAGTATGAAGCAGGTGAGTGAAGCAAAGCTCTCTAATGCGGCTCATGTAACAATTGACTGGACCCGTGTTGTTATAACGTTGGCTTGTGACACTGTCAGCAGAGTACAGGTTGCACAGAATCCATCACTCCTGATATATTTGAAACAAAAATAACCTCAAACAATGAAGCATCAATGAGGCAACAACATCGTAGGTCATCTATTGCCAAAACTCAGTAGGAACGGACAGGAAGTTAGATTTCATTGCCAGGAAAATCGTGCAGAAATGTGCAACAGCTTAGCAAGTGGCAACACGAATTACTTTCAAACAAGCAAAAGTGACTCACCGCAAGCTTCTCCAGTGGACGACCCATGGAATTTTTGGTGTACTCTTGCAGAGCGCGAGCATAACGACTCTTTGCTTCTTGTCGGTATTCTTCCATGCCAGCTAGTTTCAGTCGCCGGAAAATATCGTTCAACCGGTGGTAGTTCTCTACAATGGGTAGGATAACGGAAGAATCTAGAAAAAATGAATCTTATATTGGGTTGAGATAATATTACATTTCCAAACAGCTTTGACCCCAACTTTTTGCAGAGGGCAAGATTTCACCTGTATGTATCTATCTCGTTTTCACATTGACATGCCTGAATACCGCAGATGGGCCGATTCCCAATGATAAACAGAAATTCCTATATCCATACGCGAAGCTAAAACCATCGTTTCAACAAGAGCTATAAAAGGAATCATGATCATAGTAACAATAGTAAGAATGAAATGACAATGGAGTGTGTATATGTGCCTCTTCCCCAGTGGCAACAAACAACTGGACTGGAATGTCACCTTTATGCCATTAGCGCGCAATATCACTTTGTCATGCTCTAGCACACACGTTGCAAGAAGCCAGGTATCGGTGGCGAGTGTGAATAGGTCAATCAATTTCAACTACTTTGGATGGATGCGGAATTTTTCGGAGCTGCAACCGCAATATTGTCGTGTGAAAAGTCCTCCGGCGGGGCAGAGCAGGGAACTCGCGTTTCACTCTCACCACAACCTATCGGCAGCTGGGTGATTTGATTTGATGGACAAGAATACACTCGACGTTTTAGTTGTGATAATTCAGGCGTTTTTCGGGTTGCGCTGTTGAATCAGCCAGATGACTTCACACTGTGGCTAACGGTTCAAAAGGGAAATGTACAGACGCATATGAAGAGTAGATGTCTGTCTGAACGTTGCACCCAGTATAGGCTGCTGCAGTGGGGCTGCAGCCTCACACAACTCCCGTGTTCCACTTTAATTTTAACAAATTCTCCGCCACGGATTATGCCTATCTTATGTTATGGGACAGATGTGGTGTTGCCGGTAAAGGAACTACGTATACTCAATGCGATAGAGCAAGAGAGTTATACGATAGAACTTGAAACTGATATTGCATCACACGTCCAACTTGCTAGTAACATGACATTTTACGAAAGAACGTGTTACAATGTGCTACTTCGCGTATACGAGTAACTAGAGATAAAGTAAATGCTGTGCCCCTCCCCACGGAAGAGATTGAACTACGCTCTAGCGCATGCGATAAACCGAAGAGTCACAAGAAATTCAAACTCTTCTGAGTCCACGTAAGGAACGATACTATGTAACTCATACAACACAGAAATAGCGTTGAAATTCAGCAAGCCACCTACCCAACTGTACAACTTCCCGCGGAGTTTTGACGCTTTGTGAGGCGATCTGCTCTAGTTGGGTCATCATAGTACGCACTAGTTCACCGTGGGCTCGTTCCAAGTCCACCAGACGAGTGCTACGAGAGAAGACGGATATAGAACGTTCGGCAAACTCGACGTAGTCACGTACGATCTGCAGGACACCACAGCGGCTCCTCTTGCTCGGCTTACTCTCTTTGAACGACTGAATCATCCGTTCCTGATCAAATATAAAAGTTTCAAATGGAATACTGTCTGGAAAACTCTGTTTGGCAAACTAGCGAACTGTGAAAAAGACTTAAAACCGACGGGAAAGCTGAGAATAAGAAAAGACAGAAGGCACCAGACCATTAGGCATCATGAATGAGCTGCTACATACGATGAGGACTATAATTATTCGTCAACGAAGAAAATCAAAGGTTTCTACATCAGTTGCATCTGGAAATTACGGAGGCCTTCAGCCCTAAATGGACAAATAGACAACTCGCCTAAGTATGTTTGGAAACAAATGATGAGAAAGCGCCGTGTTGCAAACGATTTATTTTTCATCATTATACCTATCAACGATGTGGAGTTCCGTACACTACGGTGATAAGGGGCTAACAAGTAACGAACATGGTGGAGAGCTCCCGACTTCGTTTCTCACAGCATAACAGCCAGCCAGATCAACGTTGCGATCGTTCACGATATAGGCATATGTACGTTCCACCCATTCGGACAAAGGCTTGTGATTTTTAGGTAACAGGTAACCTGTAAACGCACTTTAGATTTATGACAAACAAAAGGGCGTCCAACAGAAAAAGTGCAAAATAGTATACGGAAGAACAGATGAACACTAGTGTAACCTGAGCAATTAAAAACTGAGAAGTCAGTTTCAGAAAGTCGATTGAGCCGAATATTGAAAGGAAAATGAGGGTTTCCCCGACGATGAAGAAAAACCAAGTGGTTGATGAAAGGCTGGCCAATAGGTCTCTGAAGTTCGGTCGAACAGGGCAAACAGTGGATTAAAACAAACGAAGTGAACTGAACAAACTGCGGAAAATATGGTCGTTTTTTTTAATTGGGTGCAACTCTAAGCATGCGGTAACTAAGCTCGCTGAAACCGCAAGACGGTTACCGCGGATGTAGTTATAAGTTTTTGCATTTTCCGTGAAAACGCCGAGTTCAACGTTTTCATCGAAAAAACGAAACTCTTGTACATGTAATGTAGTGCATTCGACAAGTTATCTAACGTTATCAGTTCACCAATGAAGCTGTGACAAGATTATTGAAATCGTCCCATTCTAGGACAGGGTTGCTTTAATACAGAGTACATTGGAAAAGGATAAAGAACACTAACTAAACTATTCAGAATGTCTGAATTATCTTGAATCCATAAACCAATATTCAGAGATGGAACTAGACGAAAATACAAGAAGAGGGCTGGTAGTAGTGCGAATTCGACAGCTGCATTTTACACGAGTAAAATCGAATGCCAACTTGGGAACAATAAAAAAACATGAAAATTGAGCTCGGTTAGGCAGACCCTACAAAAATGGTAACCACCAGTCATTACAAAAACCAGTCAGTTTACACATTATAACCCCATATTTACGCATCACCTACATCAACGACCGCCCCCAATACGCATCTGTCTACTCCACCTCCCCAAAACACCAGTGAACAATGCTGTGCCAGCCAGAAACACTGCACGCATAGCACGCGGTCCTTACAGCTGATGATGATGATGTGGTATGGTGGTTTCCCCAAGAGCGGCACCGAAGAAAGAATAGCTCTGATAAGATTGAATTACTAAGTTCCGGTCTCCTCATTTGTCTGCAAGATAAGCACTCCAGTTACGGTAATGGAAATTTCTCTATCAGCTCAACTCAACTGTCGTAACGGGGATGAAACGATCACAGAGAGCGAAAATGAGACTCACAATATGTCTGTTGAACGCCCGTTTGGATGTCATAATCATGCGCACCATGTATTGCGAAGAGAACCAAGTAGGCTCCCGTGAACTGACAGTCTTTTCGGTTGAAGAGGAGGAAGCTTTGATGTCGGACTCCGTATGTCGCGAGAAGGCAACTAACATGGGCATTACCAGAATGGGTAGGATTTGCTCGCACCCGGTGATAAAATTAGCAGTGTCCGACTCGAGGTCGCGGAATAGATTGCTCATTATTGCTGTCAGTGAACCCACATCGTCCAAAGTTTTGTACACAGACTGCAGATAAAGAAAATCAGTTGACGCAGTAAACATTCGTGATAGTGTAGTCGCAGGTAATCAAATGGACAAGGTCCACCGGCCGAATGTGGAGCAGTACATGGTACTTGCAACCGGCAGACTTCTACACTGTTTGCAAGGCGACCATACTTCTACTGTCATCAAATACCTTCTGTTAAGGAAAGCGGTTGGTATGCATCAAAGAACTGGTCGTTGTACGAATAGGGAATTATCCAGATATGGAGCAGTCAATCACTGAAACCCACTGAGTGTACAGTCTGCCGCAGATAAGATAAACCAGAGCATAAATGAAAGATGGGGTGCTGAGAATTTTTTTGCTACATATGACCGGTTTTATCTGGAGCCCATGATGTGTCATTAGAGATCAGCTGGGTTTAGGTAATTTCACGACGGGTTAGTGAACTGTTTGATGTCGTGACAATGAACAGGAATCAATCAGACGAAAATACATTCACATTAAACGGTAAACCGCGGGCGGACGGATCAATAATGCGGGAAACAAGGAAGAGATGAGAAAATACGCTGGTAAAGCTCGTAAAGGTTTAACAAAAATAGGCGTGATTGATGAAACTGCATCAGCAAAGTGACCGTAGAGTGAAATGCCGGCACTTGCTCAGGTTGGAAACGGCGAATGAAAATACGTTTTCAGTAGATGAATGTGAAATTCAGGTTAATGTACATTGTTTTCTAGAAAAACAGCCTCAGCGCATGTACAGGAGTATCTACCTGCCTTCTAGTGGTCCTTGAAAACTGATGATCATGTGACTGCCTCGCTGGTGAGGCAATTTCCAATGATCTTAAATCAGCCTAGTAACAGAAAACGGGTGAAAATGAAGTGACCGAAAATGGGGATAAACATCTTGAGTACATAATCACCCGGTTAAGGGGGCTTTTGCCAACAGCAGTTCGCGTTTGTCATGACACGAACCCGCGGTTCGGTCTCAAACGAACCTGTTTATCACCGACTGGTTTGCTGAACAAGACAATCAGCAAGTGCTTTTTCGTCAACTGCCGTTGTTGTGAGTAGGGAGTTGTTCAAAGATGATATCATATTCCTCATCTTAAGACAGTTTACCAGCATGCATGAAGCTGCACGCAAGAACTCACCGTTCAAGGTCTGAAGATATGCCACATTACTATATGAGGCGGCATGAAACAGAAACTTGTTTACAGAAGTCAAATATCGACAAAAAATTCGTGCGAATTCATCTTACATCGTCATGAATGCATTTAATGTATCATATCGGAGAAGATTGAAACAGACTTCCGTGCGGGGGTGCATTAAATATCTTTATAAAGAAAATTTTGGCGTCAGCATTTACCTCCTGTATGAAATACTCAACGCAAAGTTGCCGTCTACTTCCAAGGAACCAAGAGACTTTCTCAACCCCAATCGACTTCCGCCCTTGATATCTTAAGAGCATACATCCTATTGGCAGCATATTTCTTTCTGCTGCATTGACCAGTTGTTAAAATAGAGTGACATCACTAATACACAGTTCACTAGTTTTATAAACAAGGACTTTGAATGGCCGGATGTGCAAACATACTCCAAAAGCTGATGAGAATCACCGCCCCATCAACCCTCCAACCCTACCGAAAAAATGAAGATAACACATGATTCCTATGAGGTAAATCTCCATACACTTGATGCCTTTGGATACCTTTGTCCAGTTCACTCCTTCGTCTTCAGACAAAAACGCTCCGTTCGCCTGGATGCCTATTAACCCCCAATGGCTGATTGGCTTGTTATAGCTCACGTCGGTTTCAAGATACGACGACCGGATTGCAGTGTTCTTTATCTCTTTCCAGTAAAGAGCAGTTTTATCACCATTTCCAAGTGTGGAAATGCTTTTTTGCAGATAAGCGGTTCCACAGTTGACTGTTGAATGTTTAAACGCGGCATCAACATGAACGGGCCCGTCACCGCATGGTTTGAACTCATTCACCAGTAGTTTTGCAAGGACTACATCTACGTTCACCATGCCGCAATGCGATCAGCCTGTTAGAGGTGGGAACACTTTTTACTGTTGCATGTTCTATGATGCTTGATCATTTAAGATCACGGAACTTTTTNGAAAGAGTGACTGCCAAACGAGAATGAACTGTAATAGCCATATGTTTGAATGGTCCGGAAGATGTAGAGTTAAGTCGGCTCGAAAACACACCGTCAACGTTGTGACATAAACCGTTGAAAATGATAACCAAATTCAACCTATCCCACTCACCGGTGCACTTGTCTTCTGATGCATGTCAAAAAACTGCGTGATAAACTGTTCCTCAGTGTCAACCAACTGGCAAAGTTTGTTCAGCAAATCGTCCACAATCTGAAGAAATCATATGCATTAGGGTTAGGGTGGAAAGATGATAAAAGAACCGTTGAAAAATTATCATAGCACAGCAATCCGTAGCAAAAAAAGTGCCAAATAAGATACTGTATCCCCGACCTCAGCCTCCTATCGACAGAGTGTGATAGCATTAAGGAACTCATTCCTACACAACTTCTAGCTGGGGTTGAATTTTTCAAAATATCAACCTGGGGACGTGTATAATGTAGAACATCATCCTTGGGTCGGAACTACTGTGTTGAGCATCCAAGAGAAATAACTCAACAGTGACGAAGAGCACTCTTCTGTTTTGGCCCTGAAGTACATGCAGGCAAATTTAAGCCTCTCAAGATTTAAACGTTCTGATTTTCAAAAATCAGGCCAAATTTTACAGGGACTCGGGATACCTGATTAGAAGCAGGATGATAGATTGCATTGTTTAGGTATAAGCCGAAGGGATTAGGTGCGTGCGAACAATACTCAACTCACCTCTGTGACTTGATTTAGTACACTGGCTTCCGGGCTCTGAACTAAAACAAGACTGCCGGGATCGGCCACAGCCACCGCTGTCTCCAATGTGCGTTGTGTGTTCCAAGTAGCTAGAATAGGAACAATGGAGAGACATTAGCTGCAGGCAACTGACTTTGACTTAACAGAAGTAAACTGGTGACGGGATCGGTGAACTTAACGCCTCTACAGATGTACGGTTAGACTGGAGGGAATATGCACTAATTAAACAGAGGATTGGGACAAAAACTGCGGGGAAGAGTTCTGCACCAGTGCACAAAAATGCAAATAGTACGCATAAATGTCAGAATTCTATACAATTGAGTGGTGAGAGCTTTACTGATACGACGTGGAAATGGGCGCGCGACTACCTGGGTCAAACTATCAAATGACCTCTTGAAAGCGATGCTACCACAGAGACCTGAAAACCCAGCAAGTTGTACATGTCCAATGACGCTAGGTTATTTTAGGTTTTTGGGTGGTTCTAACCGAGACCTACACTCAACTAGATGCATATATCATTCATCACAAATAGTCGCCTCAACTACAGGAAATCATTTTTACTGACCAATTCTGATATCTTAGAAGTCGGTCCCTTATAATAGAATGCTGTCATTGATATGGTTCATTCGGCTGTAACATTCTTTCAGTACCTAGTTGTAACACCAGAAGGAAGCACGAAAGCTGAGATACTGTCCCAGCCTAGACAGAAACAGTCAAGATGCTGGCGTTGGGTTCGAATCACCGACTGCTCCGTCAGCAAATCGGCGCCTTGACCACCGAGTTGTCTCGAGCTCAAAGAATAAAATGCTGCCGCACAGCCCGACTATGTACCACGAAGCCAGACCACACACAACTTCAATCTACATCATCATCTCTTCCCGTCTCTGGAGCGTAAGGTGCAGCACAGGACTCCATCAAATGCATAATAGTTTGCTCTCACAGTACTCAAACTTCTAGCTGGGGTTGAATTTTTCAAAATATCAACCTGGGGACGAGTGTATAATGTAGAACATCATCCTTGGGCCGGAACTACTGTGTTGAGCATCCAACAGAAATAACTCAACAGTGACGAAGAGCACTCTTCTGTTTTGGCCCTGAAGTACATGCAGGCAAATTTAAGCCTCTCAAGATTTAAACGTTCTGATTTTCAAAAATCAGGCCAAATTTTACAGGGACTCGGGATACCTGATTAGAAGCAGGATGATAGATTGCATTGTTTAGGTATAAGCCGAAGGGATTAGGTGCGTGCGAACAATACTCAACTCACCTCTGTGACTTGATTTAGTACACTGGCTTCCGGGCTCTGAACTAAAACAAGACTGCCGGGATCGGCCACAGCCACCGCTGTCTCCAATGTGCGTTGTGTGTTCCAAGTAGCTAGAATAGGAACAATGGAGAGACATTAGCTGCAGGCAACTGACTTTGACTTAACAGAAGTAAACTGGTGACGGGATCGGTGAACTTAACGCCTCTACAGATGTACGGTTAGACTGGAGGGAATATGCACTAATTAAACAGAGGATTGGGACAAAAACTGCGGGGAAGAGTTCTGCACCAGTGCACAAAAATGCAAATAGTACGCATAAATGTCAGAATTCTATACAATTGAGTGGTGAGAGCTTTACTGATACGACGTGGAAATGGGCGCGCGACTACCTGGGTCAAACTATCAAATGACCTCTTGAAAGCGATGCTACCACAGAGACCTGAAAACCCAGCAAGTTGTACATGTCCAATGACGCTAGGTTATTTTAGGTTTTTGGGTGGTTCTAACCGAGACCTACACTCAACTAGATGCATATATCATTCATCACAAATAGTCGCCTCAACTACAGGAAATCATTTTTACTGACCAATTCTGATATCTTAGAAGTCGGTCCCTTATAATAGAATGCTGTCATTGATATGGTTCATTCGGCTGTAACACCAGAAGGAAGCACGAAAGCTGAGATACTGTCCCAGCCTAGACAGAAACAGTCAAGATGTTGGCGTTGGGTTCGAATCACCGACTGCTCCGTCAGCAAATCGGCGCCTTGACCACCGAGTTGTCTCGAGCTCAAAGAATAAAATGCTGCCGCACAGCCCGACTATGTACCACGAAGCCAGACCACACACAACTTCAATCTACATCATCATCTCTTCCCGTCTCTGGAGCGTAAGGTGCAGCACAGGACTCCATCAAATGCATAATAGTTTGCTCTCACAGTACTCAACAGAGGACTTCAATACAAACCGGATGTTGTCGCTGACAAAACTAGCAGGATCAGAGACACGTACAGGATATGGAACTGCCACCTCCATTCGCTAGAAGAAGTGGGTGAATGGACCGGCGAACAAACCGAAATTAAACAAACGAGTGAAACCGACTGATACACTGCAGCATAATAGAACCTGCCACAGTAGAAACGATGTTCCAAACTCAGACCAGCTGACTGCGTTGTGGCACGATAAATGTAGGTACAGTCCTTGCAAACTCACTAAATAACTTCAAACCATGCGGCAACTAACCCGTGTTGATTTTGTGGTTGGAAGTATAGCAACCAATCGTGGAACTGTTTGCGTACAAAGCTAGGTCTTGAAAGTTGCACTGCCGATGTCGGTGGGACCGATATCGGCTGGGTGTTGAGAACCAATGAGACAAATTCGGATTACTGTCTACGATAACTGCCTACCCTGGAGTATTGAAGGATCCCAGTGTAGAGTAAACTTTCGTCAATTGATAATGGTGATCTGATCAGGGGATTGAGCCAATTTTGTCAATGAGATCAACTGGGGACATAAAACATTAACAGATAAGGAGTGAGAAGAGGATTAAAAGAAGAAAGCCTCCTTGTAGGAAGTTTGAGGAGAGCTCGATGCTCTTGAGTGCATGATCACTGCACATGATGAAACCAGTTGTGAGACTCATACGAGAACACTGTACAATATTGTGTTTTTGAGAAGACTGACCGACAGATCAACTGTTTATTACGCCTAGTCAAATTGGTTTAAGTATGGAAGGGATTTCCATCTACGTAGCACCCACAAGTGAAACTTCTGATCAGTGGATCGCGCATTTGTCATCAGGTCCTGCTGGTGACGGGTTGGAACACGCCTCTTCCGTGGATGTCCGTGGGGGTGTTACTTGCCTCGGGATAGTCCGAACAAAGGATTTACCGTTCACCGCTTTTGTGATGGTCCATTCACGAGACTCTAACCCTATCGTATTGTTACTAGTTCGCAATTTTAAAGGTCAGACGCTGTTAATTTATCGTACTACAGGTAACCTCAAAAGAATAGGTCCACATGGACAGTTTGTGGTCAATGCAACACAACTGACGAATTATCCAAGTAGCAATGGGGAACATAAAGCACCTCAGGGGACAACCCAATTGATGCAATGACGACCAATTAACATTGGAATCATTTAAAGTGGATGACTTCAAAGTTTGTTGCTTTTGAGACCATACCATGGAGGCATTTTTCTCACAGAGTGCACAAAAAAGTATCTAGGTTAATCAACAAAAGAAAACTTACTGGTCTTCTGTGGTCTGACCACTGCAGAGATCGACTGGATTCCGCGATGGAACAGATCCAAGGTCTGATGCCGGAAAAACTGGTACATTTGCTTCGCGTATTCCTGATAATTTTGCAATTTAAACACAATGTCGAGTGAGAAATCAATCACTGAGGGGTACGGAAGCCGTCAATGCGAGAGAAATGTCCGAACCATTCCCAAACACAGTGTGTCTGACGGACGACAGTGCCGTCAATGCGAGAGAAATGTCCGAACCAAACACAGTGTGTCTGACGGACGACAGCTAATACGATAAGTATATAGTATCACAAGGCGTTAAGCTGTGTTCTGATTTTCAAAACACAATCAAGGTTGGAAGTGAGCGTTTTGGGAAGCGAGTGGCGCTATCTTTCGCATCACATTGAGTTGCCTGGAGCAGGCTTGATATGACGTAACCTCGTTTGAGGAAGTACAATTCGTGGGGAAGGTTTCCAATGGAAACGTTAAGTGCTTCGTGGTAAATAGCAATGACAAATAGTCGGCCTAAATCCAGTGGCCCGAGCCTTCACAAACCTCAAGGTTAGTAGAATTCTCTCCTGTCACTGTACACTGTATACTTCGACGAGTATTTTCCTGGATATCTCTTAATTAGCTACCACGTAACTGACGTCAGTATGAGTTCGATAAGAGTACGCGCAACGAAGGTCATTTGGGGATGGTAGGAAGCAACAGGCCTGCTGTACCGGAAATCGTACTAGGACAAGTGATATCATAGGCAAGAAACCTGAGATTCTTACCCTATTTGACGGGACTACAACCAAATACGATTATGTGCAGAAAAAGCATCACTCAATGGAACCTCACACCAGTATTCGGTTAACCATTCTTGTAGGCTTGGGTAGCATGACCGTATTTCGTCCTTCTTACTTTCTCCGGATGGCAAAGCAACCATAAAGCCGAAAAGATATCACAGATGGACTATTATCTTATCAGTATACATTATACATGGTATGCTACAGTTGCTTTACACTGAAGAGACCTAATTGTAAAAGATAACCTTGGGTTAGTCTCTCAAAGCCTCAAACGAATCCTTGGCCCACCTCTGAGCGCTATATATTGATCGGAATTATTCCCACAACAAACCGAAAAGTCGCTTACTCTCCTTGTCTTACTCGGGACCAAGCGTCTGTGTAAAAGGATCCAGTTCCAGCTCCACAAAAACCGAACACATACCTTCGATAATCGTATTATTAGTGCATTCACATTCATTCATATATGGGACATTGGTATGATATACACCGCTGGTCTTTATGGGGAAACCCCGCAAAATGAAACACGCTGGCCCAAGAGATTATTTGGGCCGGTGCGAGCTCCTCTCAAAAAAAACCTTGGAATCCCAACTCACTCAAACATTATTGGAGGAAGCAATGTAATGGAAGTGGTCTATGCTGTTGATCCAGATTTACTGGTAAATTGCTCCAGAAGAAGTGAATCATCTTAATGACCCCACACAAACGCTGGTTGAAAAATGTAGTAGTAGCCTGGTGCAACATAACTATCATTAGTCATCCCCCGAAGTGCTGCCCAAGAAAACAAAGTACTGAATTGGTAGTCCCACAGAATGCTCTCATTATCCTATTCGTTCCGCTCTGATTTGGAGCCGTTGGCATCTTATGGCCATCGACACTCATAGGAGCCTTTGATAAAGATCCTTTAAGCAGAATAATACTTTATCTGACATTTCACCGCTGCGCCAGGGTTATCATCATAGTCGCTTAGTGATTAGCACTTATTGGATTCGGTTGGACTGTTTACGTTTGAAAAGTATGCACCCTTGGTATAGTGAACCAGATGTGTATCGAAATCCTAAAATACCTTTGATAGTCACCCTTCGCTGATTCGTCCTCAAGAGAGAGCAGCTTTGGTCACCCCCTTGAGGTGTATTCTTTAGAGGAGAATCGTACAGTATCTACCATGATTCTATGGAAAAAAACGTGCAACTGTAGGGGGGTTGGACTGTTGCTGTGCTCGTTCGTCAAACATAACCACTATTGAATGCACATCTGCTAATTTTTCATTCGCCAAATAGGACGAACGGCCGTGCTGAATCACTTATACTTAGCGTGTTTAGTGCTGAAAGAATTGCCACGCAGACACCACCCTACTGGGATGTGACCGGAGTGCCCGACGGTGCACCAACAGCGTCAGTTTTAAGCTGTCCAACCTTTATGGGGTGCGATTTTCGATCATATATATATATATATATATATATATATATATATATACAAAACCGTCTGTGAACTGTAGAAAACACACCTATGTTAACTGATCGATCCCAAATAGCTACGACATGGGTTACTTTTGGTAATGCTGAATTTTGGGTGGGTGACGATCAGTCCGATCATGCGTGCTTCATCCGTTTAGTCTTTCATACCTTTACGTACTTGTGTCAAAATTCAACGGCTGAATAGCCTGTCTCACGTTAAAATCAATAAAAGATTTACCATTTACTTCCCTCCATTTGAATACACTGCTGTCAAACTGAGGGTACTTGTCTCCAGTAACAGCACAACACTGTTCTAGTTAACGTGGTCAACAAAGCGGCGAGTATGAACAAAGGCACCCGCCTACAGAAGCAGGGTAT